TATATATACTTGGGAGATTACTTTAAGCATTAAACTTTTCGTTTTTTAATTAATAAATCTATATCATATGTATATATATATATACATGGTTTTACCATATCATGTTCATGTATATAGGATTACAGTACGATATGATACGCATATATATATTTCTTTTTTCAAAAATATTATATAAATATGAATTAGTTTTCATAGCACAATTGAGCGATTAAAAGTTTTTGGAAATTCATATGTTATTAAAATTTATTGCTTTCAGGAAACCAGAGCGGGAGGTTGACAGAGAGTGACAGAGAGAGAGAGAGAGAGAGAGAAAGGGAGCTTTTAATGCATTTAATGAATTCTTCATAAAAGAAGTTAAGCAAAGAAATCGAGGCAATAGAAATGGATTTTTTTGCAAACACATGGCTTACATATAAAAATGCAGATATGTATGTGTATATATTTATTTAGATCCTACATTTATGTACATATGAAAAGTATGGCTTAAATTATATAACTATATATATATGTACAGTATATACAGTACGTTTCCCTTAGTCGAATAAGTGTAACAAATTAAAAGAAATATTTTTCAAAGACATTTTAAATTAAGTAAGAAGAAGAAAGTAAACAAAAAAAAAACTTCATTACATTTGCATCCATTAATTGACGTCGTTGCAGCTCCATCTCAACGATATACGTTCGAGTTCGACTAGAAAACAATAGCTTGCTTACGCTTTTTCTCTTTGCTTATATCGCTTGCTTACTTGAAATAGACTCTGGCATCGACATGACCATTTTTAACCACGTTTGTCCTATAAGAGAATACTACCAACTACCAACAAAAAACTTCAAAAGAAGGGATGGAGGAGGGTGAACGCATTTGTCGGGTTTTTGATTTTATAAAAACAAATTAACTTAAACTTAACTCAATCTTAACCCCTTCTTTACAATATTTTTTACAAATAGTCAAGTAGGGATTGACAAATACTAGCAAACGCCCAGTTCAAAGATAGCATAGCTAACAAACATTACGATCGAAGGGCAATAATTAACTAAGGAATATATACGATTCCCCTTGATTTGACTTTTGTCTCTGTAAGGAGTTATTCTTGGCTAATTATTGTAATAATCCATAACCATTGCGTAGTGTTCCACCACATTATCGCTAATCTCTTAATCTCCCGTTTACACTCCAGCAGCTGTCATCTGATTGATAGAATATTGCGAAAAAAGTATTTACTTCACTCTAAACTTCCACTACAAAATCCTAATCAAAGGCATTACAGAGAGTAGTCACGGCCCACCATCACTTCGCTTCATAAAATTATGCAGTTGACCTTTCAAGATAAAGCATCGCGTGAAAAATAGTCGAAAAGCTGGTCCAATCTGGACCCTTTTCAATAGATTCAAAATTCTTGAGTCAAAATATAGCGATGAGCCAAATATTGCGACGGACAGATGGGGAGGGGAGATAAGCTTAAGAATTACTTTCCAAATGGATTTTATATCGTAAAAGGGGAGGCTCATCTTAAGTCACCTTTACACAAACTTAACGCACTCATGTACCACAAGTGACGCAGGATTTAAAACGTAGTCACAGACACCACAGCATTTGCCGCTGGCTTTAGTTAAAGAGAATGATTTATAAACATTGAGGAGGTCTTAAAATTATTAAATTAATTTAATTAAGATATTTTTGATTAAAGATTTTATATAAATTATTCATGAAAGATTGTTGCTATATAAAATGCCTAATAATGCTAATGCTTCGATGCAGTTGCTTATTAAATGAGAAACTCTTGAGAGAGAAGAAAATAATATTTTGAAAATCTGCACAATTTACAGCATTTTCAGTGCAATGCTCCCTTAAGCGTGATGCTATTAAACAAAAGTAACTGTAACTACGCTCGAGAACGCATGGTTTTTCCACAAATTCAGACAGATTCGAAGAGATTTTCAATGAAAAATAAGCAGCTTTACCGAGACGAAAGAACAAATATAAGAAGGAATTGAAAAGAAAGTTAGGCAAAGTTGTTATTTTAAATATAGTCGTGTGCCTGTGGTTTTTTTCTTTACTTTTTTTTTTTTCTTTTTTTTTTCTGACGTAAAGCAAAGAAAGTAACGGTTTAATATGCAGCTTTTCAGTTTAAGAAAAAAAAAAGAAAAAAAAAAAAACAGCACAAAAGTAAATACGCATCTACATACATATTATACTTTATTCTATGCATGTTTGCTTGCAGAAGGATACAAATAAAGATTTGTATGCAAAGTTTTTCGAGATAACAGCTAAAGGGGAATAACTCTTCATTTTTGTATATATGAAAATTTAAACTGCACGACTTATATATACATACATCCATACGTATATACTTACATACAAACATATATATATATATATATATATATATATAATATTTTGATAATATAAAGTTATTGACTTTTTAAGAGAATTGTCTTTTTTTGCCTTTTTAGTTTTTTATACGCTCACACACACACACACACACACACACACACACACACACATTCTGCCGTGAATTATTATTCAGTAAAAATTTTTAACTTAAGACTCGAAAATATATCGCGATTCCTTCATACTTCTATCCTCATGGAGCTTCATTTCTCCCTCTTTTATTACGTCTTATTATATATTTTTTTAATAATGTAACAGGGAATAAAGGCGGGGATGTGCATAACGCGTAGTAGCTAAGGAAAGGGGGACATCAATCGTTCCCTACGCTCGTTATCGCACAGCAAGCGGTAACTTCAGCCTAAGCAGACAAAGTAACAACGGGGTGCGGTCTCCGGCGACTGCTGCGTTTGACTTATCTTAACCTTGTCATAAAATAATAAACGCATACTATGCAGAGATATAAGTAAATATATATAGTGTACATGCTCAGATAATAACTATATTTTAACTTAATGCATATCTCGATTACATTAAAATAAAATTTTTTCTAATTTATCTTAAGATAATCATAAATTTTAAAATCCTTAGACTTTTTGGATTCTCTTAGAGGCAAATTAATGCCGATTCATTGTTATTTCAAGTTTTCTTTCCCATAAGTTAGCTGCATATATGAAAAATGAAATTATTCCAGCTAATATTGAAAAACGATATTTAAACGCTCACTACTTCTAGTTTCGTTAACGCGAGCTTCTTTACGATCTGAAAGCCATCTACAAAAGCTGGGTAAATAATATTGCAATGTAATACGAAAACTCTTGAATATAATATCGTTGATGAAAGAAGTTTTCTAGCAAGTAGAACCTACAAATGATGTTATATGTCAGTGAGGCATTGACATAAGTGTCTTTGGAAAAAGAAGAAGAAAAAAAAAAAAACAAGAAAATATGCAACAAAAATTTAAATCAGAAAGAGTTCATACTCGGCTTGAACCGTTGAATTCGTATAGCGATAGAATTATGTGGGCGCTGTCGTTGTCTCTTCAGTTAACGCCTGTACGTGAGTTGACCGAGAGATAGGGAGAGAAAAAGAGAGGTGTAATGCCTACAAATCGATGCATGACATGGATTAAAAAAAGTGAAAAAACTTGTCCTTCATAGTAGAAGAATCATTTTACGGAATTTATCTAACAATTCTATTAGAATCATGCGAAGCGACTTTTACTAACACTGGCACCACTCGAAATAAACCTGAATTTTCGTATAGTGTTTAGCGAAACGTAACAGCATTACGATGCTGACGGTTATCACATTCTCCAGATGCAGTGGACTAAAAATTTTTTTTGCGTCTTTCACAAGCTCATAGTAGGCGAAATTCAGGAGATATCGTGCATCTGCAGATGAACACTATTTCCGAAAAGGCTGCAACTGCAGACTATTTTTGGATAAAGCGCATGATGCGCAACCAGGAATCTGCCTTTTAAAGTAAGGATGCATCAGTTATTAAAACTTAATTAAATAAATTTGAAGAAAATCAAAAATTCGAGTCTTTACCCAAGTGTTCTTTTTTTAAAGCGAAAAGGAAAAAAAAAGAAATGCTTTAAGGGACCAGTTTGCCAATCAAAGCTAATACGGAAAAATTGCCCTTTAAAAAGTATACAGAATACAGGAAAATGCCTAACGGTATTCTAATATTGTATTATAGAGAGTGAAACCTTTCGTTAGAGCACTTAACCATATAAAGAAAATCATTTTATATATGTTTGTCATGTAATTATTTATATTTTTTATGTTAAGATTCTTTGCGTGTGTAAATTTTTATTATTTATTTTTATAATTTTACATTTTCACTTTTAGATTTCCAACTCGACCACCATATATCGAAGTTGTTTAAGTGTTTTTGTTTTGTTTTGTTTTCTTCCTTTTGTTCGGATGTAATTTAGAATATTTTTTTTTTTTTTTTTAGTTTAGAAACTTACTAACATGCAATGAAACATGGCCGTTAACATGAAACAGTTAATTTAAATGCACGGTCCGGAAAGGTCAATATATTTTAAAGGGGATGTAATGAGAATTAAAAGTTTTGTGTTAAAGAATATTAAAATTGTCTCAGGTGCAATAAAAATTTATTTGGAATGTTTATATTTAAATAATATTTATATATATGCATATATAAAAAAAGAAAAGAAGAAAAAAATTCTTTGAAAGCAAAATCGAGAGTAACTATTTTTTTTTTATTTTTTATTATTTTTCTTATTTAATAACATTATATATTATTTGACTAGTCAGTCAGACATGCCTAAAAACAATTACAGAGAATAAAAATGAACAAAAAAAAAAAAAAAAAAACACACAAAAAAAAAGCAAATAAATGAATAAAGAAAGGGAAAGAAAAGAAGAAAAACAGAAATAAAGTGCATCTGAGAAGTGCTATTAAAGTCATATTTAGTGTATACTTTTCTACTTTAAGTAAATGCAACAACAAAGAACACATTAAACCAAGGTTTTCGAAGACATGACAACAAAAAGGAAAATAAACTGAAATAAATAAATTTAAGAAAAAAAAAAAAAAAAAAAAAAAAATTCTTTATAATTTTGCTTTTTGTGCTCACCTAGAGCTGGAGCCGGTATTGCACCATCTTTTGTCAGTACAACTATATGGCGTTTATTGAAATGTACAAATTTCGCAAGCGAGAGAGAAAGAGAGAGAGAAAGAATGGAAGAAAATATGAAGAAATTAAATGAAACACAAAAAGTTTTTTCTTCTACACACATATATATATATATATATAAATATATATATAAATATATATATATATATATATATATATATATAAATCTAAGAATGAATGTTGACATTTTCTAAGGATCTTAGCTTTTTCCCTCTTTTTCTCGATATAAATTATTATCACAAAAACTATTTATAGCAAAATATGCAATTGTTTCGTTTTTCTCATTCTTTGTAAAATGAAAAGTGCTTGAGAGATTTCAATGTAAGAAAAACAAACTTAATAAAAAATACAACGAAAAAAAAAAAAAACATTAATTGCTAACACTTTACAATTTACTAAAACTACTCAAATTGAGATTTTATTTATTTGCTCCTATACTATCGTTAACAACAGGATATAAAAGACTATTCTCTAAGCTAAAACGATATTGAAGGGAAAATAGTTTCAAATGTAACGCTAAGAACATTATTATTTTGCTAAGCTAAGGTCCAATTATAGTTTCGCAACATCCACATATATCTTGTAAGAATCATAACGAAACGTAATATTGATCCTGTTCCCTTTTGTCGAATATGTTAATGTACGGCTTCGTAAAAGACATTGCAACCAATGATATAGATTTTTATACATTTTGGATCAACTTTTTTGCTCCATTACTAAAACGATATAGTTTTTACTTATATTTGAATCACGCATGTCCATGTGTAAAAATAAAAGCTGAATTTGTTTATTTGTTCTAACATTTCAATTTTTCATAGTCTCCGCACTTTTTACATATATAATTCGTTGCATTTCCAATGTGATTTATTACACTGACAAAATTTATGGCAATTGTTTTTACATTGTTTTCATATTACGGGCCACTTAATCACTAACTGCTTTTGCTTTCTCGTTTTAGCTCGCAGGCAGACGAGCAAGAGATTTCGTTTTCATTATTTTCCTAATTACTCTCGAATCAATTACGCCACTGATATAACGAATTGGATTTTGCGTGCATCAAATTTAAAGCGCGCGATAGATAAAAACTAGAAGTGGGAAATGAGAGGACTTTGTCTAATTTCTGATTCCCTTGCTATTCTCTAAACAGTAGCATTCGCCAGCCAAGCCTTTCTTTGTATAGATATAATGTGGCGCTGGCTTAGAAAGTCGCAGCCGACATGCAATTGGCATTACAATCAATATTATTGCAAAATATCGCAACATGTCTGTCTGCATATACGATTTATTCATCGAGTCGAATCAAAATGATTATAAAGCCTTTATGAGACAAAAAATATTGTTAAGTTAGCTTTTTTAGCGTAGCGTAGGAGCTACGAAAATGAACTCGATTTCGGTGCAGGCATAAGTTACTTACGGAATGAGCGTACACACACTAGGCTTCGGCCCTCATCATCCTCCCATTTCTTTCTGATCGTGACTGTGTTTACGCGAGTAGGCGTCATTCCTTGAGTGACAAAAAAATTGTGCTTTCTGCCGATTGACCAAAAAACCACTTCATTATTTATCTTTTGACAAGCAGCAGGCAGTAAAAGTCCTTTTTTTTTTTTGGTTAATCTTCGAAAAATCGCAATTGCAATAAAAGACCTCCGACAGACAGATGCAAATGAGTTGAAGCTATACCGGTTTCATGCCACGTTAGTGGTCGAGATATAATACATGCGAATTATTTATACAAAATATTTGTATAAAAACACTTCGCACTGAACATTGATATCATCTAGATGATGTTTTAAAGGCGTCAACCGGGTGAGCACAAGTTTGCTGATGCTTTAAATGCTAAATAATTCTTTTTTTTTCCCATTCATCGATATTTTCCCATTTGCCCTTATCTGTTGTATGTATATTTACAACGCACAAAACCATATGTTTGTTGAACGACATTAATCATGTAATGATTTATTGATGTAGATATAGTAATGTAAACGCCTGTATTTTTTTAATAAAATAATTTGCTGAAATTACGGAAATCACCTTCAATGTAAAAATGTTATACCGACCAACACTGAAGAGTGATTGACTGATAAGTGATATGATTATTAAAATCACCCTCCGGGCAAAGGCGGTGTTGGAGAATTTTTTGATTTAAAAAAAAAAAAAAAAGGAAAAGACAATAATTTTGAAAATAAAACAAAATCAATTTCCCGAACAACAATAATAGTTATTTAATACTTGAGTAATAGACAGTTATATGAATGTAGTAAACATCAAAAATGCTGTAAGTTGATAACTACCGTTAACCATACATTTTTTTTGCTCTGATATTTTAGATAATTTATGTATACCATCTTGATTGAATTTTTTTTTTTTTTTTTTCTGGCTTTTTGGCTTTTTGTCTCAAAGCCAACCTATTCGGGCAGAAACAATTTTCGATTATTGTTATACCCATCACCGCAAAATGAAAGTCATATTGAATTTAGCAAAACGTTTGCAACGACCAGAAAGAAACTTCAACGGCCCCATAAAATATATATATATATATGTTTTTGCTCAGCATCACATTGTGAATCGATTTAAGCACGCACTCATCTGGGCGTCCTTGCACTGTTTATTGCAAACATTCCCCTGGACGCAAACATTAAGTTATCAACTTTAAATTTGGAAGATGGAGACATTGGAAGCTCTTACACGCGGTTTGGTATTGGTAAGTGGACTAAACCGGTTAGAGGATACGCCTACCGTACTACGTAAGCTGAACAACATCTATGTTCTTCAAAAGGAAACAAAAATTGCCGATAAGTACAGAAAAAATTGAACCCCTGAGTATATCTTATCGTTGATGCTATAGTATATATAGAAATATGGAAGGAACTGGCTACGTCTACCCAATATTGTAGTGATGTCAAAATGCAATTTTTATGTGTAAATCTCTATAACGAGAGGCAGGCTTCAAGAAGCAGAAGCCATTAGGTATAGCATGTCCATCTGTCCATGTGCCCACATGTGTTGTGTCTGCGGTAAGCATTCTCGTTATTGCAAACATTGAGATATCGCCTACAAATTAGCAAACAATTTTTCAAATGATTTGAGCCGATTAAAGGATACGATTAAAGCGCCCATATAACTATGCAGAAAAAACTGAGAACACCTGCGTGTTCCGCTCGTTACCTATAAAGTACGATAGACACGCGATATAAATTTCAATTTTTATTCTACACATATAGTAAAAATCAGCCTCAGCCACGTCCACTGAATATTATCGAGTACAGAAATTTAGTTTTTTTTTTTTTATCGTTTCCAGGATAACGGTGATGGATAGAAAAGATTCGATTACAACCGAATATAATTTTCTCATTATTTTTTTCTTCTTCTTCTAACCAGAAAGTTTGATCTGGTTGAACCAAGTTCTAGGCGAATATAAAGCTTAAGTATGGAAGGAAAATGCCGATATAGCAATATATCGATTCAGTTTGCTCAATGCTATACGGAATGAAATTCATTTTATACCGCTCGTGATTGACACTACGGTACATACCGCGCAATTGTGCGATACATTGATTTTTTTTTTTTTTTTTCAAAATTTTTAACAAACGCAAACAAGCAAACACAAAAGCGAATATTATACTTGAATGAATCCAACTCAAACCTCCCTGCTGCTTCCTGTTAAATAAAAAATGATTAAATTTAAGTGAAAATATATAGTCAATGAAATTTAATTTAAGATTGATTTTATTATTATTTTAAATGTTTTTCTTTCATTTCTCATTCACTGTACTATTTTTAAAGTAAAGTAAATCAACCCTGATTGCTAATTGTTGGCAAGGGTTGTACACACAAGTTGGTTAAATCATTTGAAATGATTTTTTTTTTTTTTTTATTCTACAATCTACCAACACTTGCGAAGAGTTATTATATGATAATAATAAGTTTGTTTACGAAATTGCTTGAAATTGAAATATTATTATTATAACATTTAAAATGTTTTTTTATATGTTTATTCCTTTATATATTTATTTATTTATTAATTTATTTATTTAGATACATTGTAGTAGCATATGTTATTATCATAAATTAAAAGCATAATAATTACTCACCATTTGGTACGGCGGTCACCTTTTTGGTTTGTACACGAGCTGTAGCATTGTTCACCTTTTGTGTGTATTTTGTCGTTTGCGTATGTGTATGTGTGTGTATGTGTGTGTGTGTGTGTAAGTGTATGTATATGTGTATGTATTTATTTGTATTTATATTTGTGTTTTTATGTTTGTTTACGTGCACGTGTACATACATAATTATATATGTATATGTATATGTGTATTTATGTAGGCAAAAGGGATAATGTTGTGATGTTATGTTGTTGAAGTCATTATATGAACATGATTGATATGTAAAAAGGCGGTGTTGAAAGGAGAATATAATTAAAAATTTTCATTACAATTAAAATCTTTTAATCTAGTTCCTATTTTAGGAATATGAACAGACATGTATCTATGCTTATATTATAATGAGCGGCCGATGTTATGACATTTTTTTTGTTTTGGCGAAATTTCAATTTCGCTTACACACACTTTGACATGCTGTTGTTGTACTTGTTGTTGTTGTTGTTGTTGTTGTTGTTGCTGCTGCTGTTGTTGCTATTTCACAACGCGACGTTTATGCATCTCGTATTCAATTCAATTATACTCGAGTTATGGGATTCATACGACTTACAACGATTCTTGGATACCTATCACAATTCGATTGAAAATACTTATCAAGCAAATCTAAAGCATAGTGTTTAGTTTAAGGCTAAAGCATCTAAAATAAACGGTGATTGCCTTCAGAGTAAAACAAATAAGTGAAATGAAAGGAACGAACGATACAACATCATATTGACGTGAACATCGAATATTAAAACCGATATTTGAAAAAGTGGTATTAGTCGATCATTGTAACCATTTTCCCAGGCACACTATAATAAATATTTTTTACGACTTCCTCTTCGTTATTCATTGTCCGTGTTTATTTTGGAATTCTTGTTTTCTTTTACTCCTTTCGTATTTTGTAATTTATTATGACTGTACCTTTGCGCCCCATCTTGCCAATTTTTATATAATCCGGTAAAATGCAATCAAGAATAAAATTTTTATGGCGATATGCGTTTTACTTTAAATTATCTCATCATTTCGCTTAGGTACTAAAGTAAGGAGAAAAACAGACAGATAGAGTTTGCTTTTCGGTTTAACGTAAAGCCCAAAGAAGTCATACATTTGATAATACCTTTTATGGAAATATAACAACGCTCTTTAACGGTCTGCAGGCTTAAAAGCCTAACGGAGTTCAGAAGGCAAAAAGCCTTACAGAAACTAGAAGAGAGTAGTATGTAAATTATCAATTAGTCCCCAATGTATTCTCTTAGGCCGCAGTCTTAGAAAATTGTAATCGGACTAATCGGATTGCAAGTATGCTTACATATTTAATGAGCAGGTCTCGAAGATAACATCATAATATTAGTTAAAAATTTTTACGTACATGTATAATCTTATGCCAGAAGAATTTAGTTCATTTCTATTTCAAACGATTAAGAGGATGGACCGAAAGGAATAATGTTTCGGTAATATTTAAAAAATTTAAGATAGATAGATATGTAGTCACATTTTGAAGATATGTTTATAAAACAATAACTGCATATCATGTTCCAGCTATTTTCGAATATCGACGAAATGTCCTAAATTAGTTTTGATAATCGCATTTTTATTTTTTATTTATTTATTTATTTTTTTTGGGGTTTTATAATGCGTTTACACTTATCTTGGATATTTATTCTACTGCATATATATATTTACTTATACAATATCTATATACAATATAAATAGATAAACTTATATAAATAGCGCATACAGACCTATGCATATGTATGGTGATGTGACGTCAAACAGCTCAATTAAGGTGACTTCCATATTAGATGAAATTGCCCATTGAATGATTTTGGGGAAATAATTGTATGTTAAAATCTTATATTCATACAAATTATTTGCGATATAATCTCCAATCCTTATGAATAGATAGATAGATAGATAGATAGATAGATAGATAGATAGATAGATATATGGGCAAAATCAATTCCAACAAAGTATTCATTTTAATTACTCTCCAGTTGTAATACATAAAGTATAGGCATAGGCGTTAACATTAGTTGTGTTTGAATAACGGAACAACTGTGCACACGTAGTCGTCTAAATGCGCAAATGTTTGTGTGTCGGTACAAATATAAATTTTTATATTTATATATGTATTTTTGTTTTTTTTTTCTTTTTTATGCGATCTCTTTTTTTGCTTGCGATATTATAATTTATACATATGAAAAGTGCAAACTATTCAAAATGTGGTATTTGCGGGAATTTTTTCAGTTTTAATTAAATTTATTCAAAAAGCGTTCTCCCTCTCTCTCAAATTAAATAAATATTCGAAAAATACTTCAAACGATATCGAATTATTAAATAAAATTTAAGTGACTGCTTGAAATTGAAAAATTCAGTATGTCGTGGTGCGAGCGCAAGTCAACGAAAGTCATTCGAAATGAAAATAAATAAATAAATATATATGCGTATATGTGGAATCTATATGGACAAATATAAAATTATAATTTTTCTATACCCTCCTATCCTAAATTATTTGTTTAGAATTGCGAAACCATTCTGTCGATTCCGTCAATTCGGCCGAATGATACCATTTTCGCATTGATTGCTTTACCGCCTATGCGAGCCTATTCGTAAGCACTAAAATGCTAAACCGTTTTGTGCTGAAAATTTGCACTCTGTCTCAAACCAATGTTTACCATTTACCAGTTGTAAGCTTGTATAGGTTTAAGTTTAATGTAAGCGTGGTTCAAGCTTGTCTTGTTTGCTTCTTGCGACCGTTGCCGTTGCCGTTGACGTTCCAGCAATAGATAGATCGACAAGTCTAGAAAGACTAAAGATTTTGCGTTGAAATTATGTATCTATACATACATACATGTACGCATGTATAAAGTCTCTATAACATTTTTCCGATTATTACAAACGCAATGGAAAATCTCGTATAGTGTGCTTTTATCATCGTTCTGCAAAAAAAAAAACGTTCACTTATGTGAAATGACATTCCATGACTGTTGCTGTCCGAATGAAAATTTAACCTGTTGTTGCCTGTAAATTGCCTGTGCAATTGTATCCTCCATTAAATTATTGGTCATCATTATCTGTGGCCTTCAAATTGTAATGATTTTAATTTAAAGACAATTCGCTTACTACGATGTGTGTTACATACATTTTAGATGAAAAAAAAAAAAAAAAAACTCATATGATAGTCAGGCGATGAAAATTCACATCTTCATTTCGATCATTTAAATCACGTTCATAAGCACTAATATATGTTACGAATCAGCGATACTTGCATTATCGTAAGCGCTTTAACATTATTCACCGCAGAACTTTTCTTTAAAGATATCTCCTAAACAGTTTTTTTGATTCGTTATCCATCTGCGTAAATATTACGATTTTATAGGCAATTTGCAACGATTGCCAAAGAATGAACTGAATTAATTCGAATTGATGAGAGCAGTGTCACCGCCATTTATATTTGGTTTTTTGCTTTCGTTCTTCTAAGCGAAGTTCCAAAGGCAAAATTATAGTTTCAACAGAGGGATTATCGATAGATGTGTAGTGTTGCGATTAAAAGCATTCTTTATTGAATGGAAAGCATTTAGTTAAAACGAATATGCTCGAATGCGGTGTATGTGAGAAGGATGACAATTATGAGAAAGCCGCGACTAACACACATTACATGTAAGACAAGACACCCACAAGTGCATTCATTAGTAATTTAAACTTTATGAAATAATTTGTAATGCTTCCTCTTTCTACCATGTTCCATGTTACCTTGCACCAACAAATCGCATAATTTTAAATTTAAATAAACACTCTCTATTACTAGGGCTTTCAACGAAACTTCAACACTAACTTGTCATATTTTAATTACTTGAATGGCATAACGATGACCTGCACTTGAATTTATTCAACGCGAAACTGTCAAGGTGTTTGCATTTGGGCTTTGAAAGAATATAAGGATGATTTGATTTTATCCTTGTTACGCTCATAGGCACCAGTTGCTTAATTATTCGACAAATTTTGTAGTGAAATTTTGATTTTTATTTATATAATCATTTGAACTTTGCGTTAAAATAAATGATATAATATTTTTGGAAAACTAAATGACTAAATTTTATTTAATATTAAATTTTATTTTTGCAAACAAAAAAAAAAAACATTGCTTTAAAATTTATCTTTAACTACGGAAAAAATAATCAATCAGGTGGTCATATAAGCAGAGAGAATAGTGCACTCGGAACATATATCCTTGTAACGCAATATACTCAAACACATATATTACTATGTAGATATGTGCTTTAAGCTTCCTAAATATTCATATTAAAGTAGAGCACTGAGAGTAACTGTTCTCGTATATTGAGTTAACTATAATCACAACTGCACACATCTAATATACTGATGATAGAGAACTTCTTTTCAAAACAAGGACATTCGCAATTTAATAATGCGTGCGTATATGTGAGAATTTAATAATTTTGTTAAGAGTCTACATGCTATGACATATCTGTGTGAGTAAATATTAGTTATTTTTCCACTTATCCACTTACTGACTCTGCTAAAGGACTTGCGTCAATATTTGTAAGTATGTGTACAGAGGGAAGAATGTTTGACACAAGGCCATAAAGTTGAATGATGAATGAAATGTGTTAGCTCTGCTGATGATGATAATCATGATGAACATCATGAGCATCATCGTGATGCCGACATCCCTTTTATCCCTTATAAATTTTAAATACAATCACATATCTGTGTGCTAATAGTTGCCTGCGGTCATACTAATACAGCTGAGCCGAGCTGACAGTCTGTGATAAGATTATTTTTTATTAATCATAAAATATAATAAAAACGTAAAATAAGTTCAGAATTAAATTTTATAATTTCTATTTTGTTTGTGTATGTATGTGTATGTGTGTGTGTATGTATGAGACTAACTATGGTCTATAGTCCGTTTATATGTATGTTGAATTTCAGATATGAAACTTTAAGCTTTTCAATTACATTTAATGCTAATTACATAACTTGAGG